TAATTTATTTACATGTTACGTTTTTAAAAATTAAATACTTAAACTTATGCTTTAAAAAATAAAAGTTTGTTCAGTAAAATTATCAATTTATTTTTGCAAAACAATTTTTTTGTTATATTTCTTAAAATATTTGATATTTTTAGGTTTTTATTTTTTTAATCAATTGGTCTGATTGCATTGCAACTAAATTTTTAATACCAATTGAAATAGACAGAAAATTAAGGAGATATTTTAAAAAACGTCTTTACCCCGCATAGCGCCTTTGCCCCACTCTCCCCTATTATTATTTACATATTGTAATTAATAATGTTATTAAGTATATGACGGGTTCCACGTTAAGTGACCCAGGTCAAAATTTTAAATGTTTGGGATCGGGTTAAAATTTTGCAGAAACAGTAGTCCTATTAGATACAATTAAAAATACCAAATATTATTAATTTATTTAAACAAATATTAAAACTGGAGGGGGTCAAAGTTTAAATTTTTGGTCTAACATGGAATATTTGAAAAATTTGTAGTTTCTTTAAAACAAAACGAAAATACGTTTTCTATTTTGGGTTTTTCTGCTGTTTTTCAACACTCTCTAATGGTGTAAACAAATGTAGAGAAAAAAAATGTTAGACCTTGAAAAATTAAATTAAAAAATAAAATTTCATTTTTTCATCAAATGGACAGTTTTTATTTTTTAAAAAAAATTTTTATCATAAAGGTGACGTTTTTTCCTAAAAAAAATGTATAGGTCAAAACGTGGGACAAGAACTTTTAACTGGTCAAAATAAACATTTACTGCTGCAATCCACCGCCCCTGTTCGTTGTTGGGCTATATATTGTTTATAACAATTGAAATAAATTATTTTATGCTTTAATAATTATCTGGTGGTCATATTGGATGAATTTAAATTGATTTAGATCATGTGCATCAACGAAATAAGAAAATAAACCTCCTTTTTTTTAAAAAAGTGTATTAATTTGTTAACTTTGATTTAAAAAAAATTATAAATAATTAAAATCTCCAAAATCTGCCTCAAAGGATGTCTTAAGAATTTATTCCCCTTTAACTTAAGACAAAGAACACTCAAATCGGTTAAAAATTGTAAGCTATAGACATTTTTTAATAGTAAATTGTAAAAAAAATTCCACTGTGGGACGGTGCACGGCAGAAGTAAATGCTTAATTTGACTAGTTCAAAGTTCTTGTCCCACGTTTTGACCTATACATTTTTTTTAGGAAAAAACCTCACCTTTATGATAAAATTTTTTTTAAAAAAATACAAACTGCCCATTTGATAAAAAAATGAAATTTTATTTTTTAATTTAATTTTTCAAGGTCAAACAATTTTTTTTCTCTACATTTGTTCACACTATTAGAAAGTGTTAAAAAACAGCAGCAAAACCCAAAATAGAAAACGTATTTTCGTTTTGTTTTAAAGAAACTACAAATTTTTCAAATATTCCATGTAAATTTTTGACCTGGGTCACTTGACGTGGAACCCGTCATATAGATTTAAATATACCATTTACAAACAATTTATTATAAATAAAGGCAAAAATTGCAGTCTCGAAACTGAAAAGGTATTTTAAGCAACACATCTTCCAAGTCAGCGTGGCTGTGTGGTATGTGTATTCGTATTGCGTCCCAAAGGTCTAGGGTTCAAACCCCCGTGCGTGCGATATTTTTCCGTCTTAATTTAAGTGATTTATGTTAATAATGTGAAGTGTAGTATAGGTTGAAATTCTTAATTAGAATTTAAAATAATAACAAATAAATAACTGGACTTGTTAAAAATAAAATATGGTATAAAAGAAGAAAGCGAATAATCGAAATTTTTTTTTAAATTCAATGAAATTTTTGCACCTTTTAAAATCTTTAATATTGTTAAAAATTAACAATAGTTTATATACTATAATTATAAACTTTGTTAATATTGTTATATAATTATATTGTACATATGTTATTAATTATTATTATTATTAATTTTTACAAATATATTTACCGTAAATCAATATAGAAGTATTAAACAAGTTTCTAAAAATGAAATTTATACTAGAGCCCGTGTTATAGCTTTATAATATTTCACTATATTGTTCTGATATAGTAAAACTATCTAGAAACTTGATGTCTGTAGCGTTACATTTCAAGATAGTTACTACAACATTTCACGGTATCGCAACTAGATAGCAACTAGTGAAACTATATCATTACGGTACAGATACGTGACAAATTTCCACACGGGCGCTATTTAGTTTTGGTTCCAATATCAAAATTCCACTCTATTTCGTTTTGGTTCCAATATCAAAATCAAAATTCCATTCTATTTAGTTTTGATTCCAATATCAAAATCAAAATTCTTTTTTGTTTTAATTTTGATAAAATACTACTGCGCATGTATAAGTCTCATTGAACCTAAATTTTGTTGCAAATGTCAAATATATCAGAAGATAATATCGTTTTTACATAAGAAATCTGAAGTAGAATTCGAATCGTTTCTATAAGAAAACCGAATTCCAGTATTACAGTATCAGAATCAAAATAGGAAGTAAATTTTGTTTTGTTACAGTATCAGAATCAAAATAGAAAGTGAATTTTGTTTCGTTACAGTATCAGAATCAAAATAGAAAGTAAATTTTGTTTCGTTACAGTATCAGAATCAAAATAGGAAGTAAATTTTGTTTCGTTACCGAATCAAAATCAAAATACATTAATAATTTCGTTTTGTTTTGGAATATCGTAACGAAATCAAAATTTGATTTCCGTGACGGTCCCTGATTTAAATCATCCTGCATACCTAGAGAAATTGAAAAGTGCTGTTACACAATTTTCTTCTCTGAATATTTGAATTACAGTTTTGTAAATATACATTAAATATGTATGTATATTGTGTATTATTGTACAAGTAGTTTTATCGTATTAAAAAGTATAAATTGTTTAATCATATAAATTTGAAACTATTTTATTAAAAAAATACCACTCTTATTTGCGACCAGTTGTTCTTTATTAATTTTTATGTGCACTCACCATTGATAATTTTTTTATTTTTATTTTTTTATATAACAAATTATTAAAAAATGTTTAAATTATAAAATCTAACTCGAATTAAATTGATATATAAATTTACTAAAACGGAAAGAAAATAATTTTAGAAATTAAAAAATTTTTTTTAATGAAAATCTTATTTTTTCGAAAAAACGCTAGGACGAGCAGCTGAGATTTCAATATTTATTGATTTTGAATCTTGAGATGACGCTTTAAGGGATTGTACAAATGATTTTTTTTGGCAACGTAGAAAAACTTTATTTTGCTTCAAGACCACCGTGAGTTGTGAAAAAAAATTTGGAAATAATATCATATGTATTAAATTATTTTTATAATTAAAAGAAAACTTAAAGGGGAGTTACACCTTTGACTCGAAAAAAAATCGATTTTTTTTTGCTTAAACGATACTTTATAATGTGTAGAATAGAAATTATATCATGCGAAGTGATTTTGAAGTTATTTTATGTGAAAAAAATCAAAATCTGCAAAAGGTGTCCAAGAGCGCTTCAAGTGCTTTCAAAACTTTAAACGCGTTTTTCTCGAAATGACGTTTTTCAAAACGGTGGACAGTCTAGCTCGAACAGTTTTGATCGGATTGACTTCGGCCAAAGTTTTTTTTGTTCGTCATTTACTAATGCTTTAGAGTACGTAGCGGATTTATTTTTGGTTTGTTTTCTTTTTTTTGGCAATAGATTTTTTGAGAAAATTTAGCCCTAAAAACCGACTTTTTCCTTCAAACAGCTGCCAAATTCACAAAAATTAATATTTTTAAAATATCCTACGTACTCTAAAGCTAAATCTATCACAGATTCAGAAAAACTTTGAATTTTTGTTTTAGATTAAACGGTCTAACCGGAATATTGTCCACCGATTTGCTCTGCAGAGAAACAGGGGTGCTATTCTGTAACTTCACATTCACTTCACTTTCACTTCACATTCACTTCACTTTCACTTCACTTTCACTTCACTTTCACTTCACTTTCACTTCACTTTCACTTCACTTTCACTTCACTTTTACTTCACTTTCACTTCACTTTCACTTCACTTTCACTTCACTTTCACTTCACTTTCACTTCACATTCACTTCACATTCACTTCACATTCACTTCACATTCACTTCACATTCACTTCACATTCACTTCACTTTCACTTCACATTGAAAGTGAAAAGTGAAGTTAATGGGGAGTGAATGTGAAGTGAATGTGAAGTGAAAGTGAAGTGAAAGTGAAGTGAAAGTGAAGTGAAAGTGAAGTGAAAGTGAAGTGAAAGTGAAGTGAATGTGAAGTGAATGTGAAGTGAAAGTGAAGTGAAAGTGAAAGTGAAGTGAATGTGAAGTGAATGTGAAGTGAATGTGAAGTGAAAGTGAAGTGAATGTGAAGTGAATGTGAAGTGAAGTTACAGAATAGCATCCAGGACCAACTTTGGCGCCCTCTATAGGCTACAAATTTAAACTTTTTTAAGTGTAAATATATTTTTGTAAACTTCAAATCATAACAAATAAAGTCCCTTAAACCAAATTTTGTTTACTTTATTCCTGTGTCTTAAAAAAATTCTTGAAAAACAGGTTCAAAAGAGACCTCAAAGGTGTAACTCCCCCTTAAAATTAAAAACACATTTTATAAAGTAAGAATATGGAAATTAAGTAAAAAGGTAACATTTACATTTTGTTACAAAATAAGAAATAAACGAATAAAATAAAAGACACTGCAATAAAAGTAATAAAGATATCAAAATTTGACAAGCCAAATGGTCCCGGATTCATATTATGTCAAAGGGCAGACAATTATCAAACGCACTCAGAAAAATGAAGTTTCATCGATATTTAAGAGTATTGCGCAATCAAATCAATAATAATTATCTTTAAAAGAAGTCACTTACTCACGATCAACACAAAAAAATAATTCAAGTCAAAGGTTACAGATATTCTGATGTAAAATTTCGTATATAAGCACTTGTTAATTGCTGAAGGAGGTTCATTATTGTTAATTCTTGCAGGACAATGATTGGACGTTTGCTTGTGGTCGCACTGGCCGCTTGCCTGTGCCTACAAGCAACAGCTTACACGGAAACAACATTCACCGCTGACAATACATTTCTTCAAAGACAAAAGAATCTCTTTGAACTCTTCTGGCATGTAGACCAACCGACACTCTATCATCCGGAACTTCATCAAATCTCCAAGTCATGGAGTATCACCGATCATGTCGACGACTATACAAACAAGGTACCATTACCTTTAACCTAATTTCAACAAACAATAAATACTGATTGCCTCAGTAATTAAAAAGTTCAATCTGTACAATGGAAATTTTTTCTCTCATTTCAGGAAGTTGTTCACGACTTTTTAAATTTGTGGAAATTGGGTATGACACCCAGAGGTGAATTATTTTCCCCCTGGTATCCAGATATTCAAAAAGAGATTTCCGCTCTCTTTGATTTGTTCTACTTTGCAAAGGACTATGAAACCTTCTACAGCACTGCAGTATGGGCAAGATTCAACGTTAACGAACATATGTATAACTACATTTTGGCTCTGTCAATTATTCACCGTCATGACACAAAACACATTCGTTTACCAAATCTTTATGAAATTATACCACACTATTTCTTCAACGAAGATGTCATTGAACGTGCACAACGTATCAAGATGGGAGATGTCGGTAAAGTTTTGCCTTTTTTATTTCTTCTTCATCATGTTAAATCTGATTATGATAAACTGTTTCGAAACAAATTACAACTAGTGAAATTAATTTTTGTTTATAACAGGAGCAGCTAAGAAACCAGTAACCGGAAATGAACCCTACATACTACAAGCAAATTACTCCGGTTGGTACCTTGCACACGATCATGACACGGAATGGAAATTGAACTACTTTACAGAAGATATCGGCATGAACGCCTACTATTTCTATCAAAACGCAATTTTCCCTTACTGGTTAAGCAGTGAAAAATACAACTTGCTGAAAGACGTTCGAGGACTTATGTATTACTTCAACCATAAACATCTGATGGCTCGTTACTACATGGAACGTCTTTCTAATGACCTAGGTGAATTAGAATGGCTCGACTGGGACAAACCCATTGTTACCGGTTACTATCCAACTTTGGTTCATCCATCAGGTCTTCCTTTCCCACAAAGACCTACTTGGTCCTATGTTCCAGTGCACAAATACGAACAAGTCGAGGTTAGTATAACTAAATCACGGAAACTAAACTTATGACCTATAATTTTATTATAATTTCCACATTGGACTATATTCTCGATACTAATTCACAATTTAACTAAATCTGTTATAATATTTCTAATCAAAACATTTAGAGAATCCATCATCTTGAATCCAGAATAATGAGGTCAATTGATAATGGAAGAGTAGAAAAGCATCATAACAAACCTCACGAACTTTATGAAAATATCTCCAAAGACATAAACCATTTAGGAAACATTATTCAAGGAAACGGAGATTCACTTTGCCGTAGATACTACGATTCAGTCGATAAATATGCAAGAAATATTCTTGGATTTGGCCACGAGAGATCAACTAAATACCAACCAATTGTTGGCTCCTTGGATATGACCGTCACTAGTATGAGGGATCCAGGATTTTACCGAATATATAAGAAGATTCTAAATTTCTTCATGAGGTTCGCATTTGACAATTTTATTCCCATGCTTTTTAATGAAAGTGTTTATGTGATTAAAATTTCTAATTGTATTTTAGGTACAAGAGTAATTTACCAATGTACACACATGAAGAACTATTGTTCCCTGGAGTAAAAATTGAATCCGTCGCTGTCGATAAACTAGTCACCTATTTCGATAATTTCGAAACAATGATTAATAATGCTGTTGCCGTCAAGAGCCACAAAGAAGCACAATCAATTCTCATCAAAGCTCGTCAATATCGTCTAAATCACAAACCTTTCACTTATCACTTAACTGTGAACAGCGAGAAAGCAACTAAGGCTTGGATACACATCTACCTTGGACCTAAATACGATGTTCACGGGCATGAGATTGAGATGATCGATAACTGGATGAACTTCTTCGAGATGGACTACTGGGTAGCAGACTGTAAGTATATTCAAGATTTTTATACAAAAAAGTACAAAATTTGACCAATTATCCCAATACTTGAATTTGCAACAATATTTGTAAAATTGTTACTATATTAGGATATTGAAAAATGTTTCCAATATTAATGCAAGTTTACGTGTTGCAAAGGACTAAAAAGTTTCTATCATAATTTCGAAAAAACATGAATATATGTGAATTTATAAATTCATCTCCAGTGAAACCCGGAATGAACAAAATTGAGCGCGGCAGTCACGAATCATTATTCGTCGTTCCTGATACATTACCAAGCGCTGACTTCTACAAAATGATCACTAAGGCCCTTGAAGGAGGAGAGGCATACAAATATTCTGCCCAGATGTATGGAATTCCAGATCGTATGATGTTGCCAAAGGGTAAAACCGAAGGAATGCCATTTAGGCTCTTCGTATATGTCAGTCCTTATGTAGAAGGTGAAACCATGACTGTGGAATTCCCTGTATTTGGAACGAAGAACTTTGAGAAGAAACCAATTGGATTCCCATTGGATAGGCCAATGTATCACTACGATAAGACTGTACCCAACATGTATTGGAAGGACGTTACTATTTTCCACAAGCACGGCGAAGAACTTAACGTAACAGCTTAAATTAGATTATTTTAGTTAGTATTGTCTCAACACTGTACAAATTTTCATGCGATTATGTAAGAACTTTTTTTTAAATAAATAGAAATTTATTTTGTCAATTCTTAATGATAAATTTTAAATTACCCTACAACGTTAATTATACAACCAATTTATACTTTTATAGGTTCACTATCTACTTAAAATTTAACTTGATAAAATCATTTACATCAATGAATTCTTTCCAATTATAATCAATGATTAATGATACACATTAATCACAAAAATTATTCATTACAGATTGCAACTATTATCAAAGAATAGTGAATAATTTAAGGATTGAACAAAAATGTATAATTATTAATTTTTAGTTACCATTTGCCATTATTATCTATTTGTTATTAATTATACTATCCATATATTACGATAAATAAAAATAGCTTGAAATTGATTTAAAAATAATCAGTATTTTCAGTTTTGCTTCCTCATAAAGGAAGCCTTATAGTGATGTCGATTTCCGAATTTTTTAGAACCAATTATTTTTACAAATTTTCAAGTGTAGTATACATAATTCGTCGAGAGGAACAAATGTCCGGATGTATGTGTGTATGTATGTGTGTGTGTATGTATGTGTGTGTGTGTGTATGTCACCGATTCTTGTGGACAAATTTTCTCTTACACGTCTTGACAGATTTTGATTAAATTCTGTAGGTGTATTACGATCACGAATACCAAAAATCAGACAAAAGGATTTTCAAAAATATCTAAAAAAAAAATTTTTTCAACAATTTTTTAATTTTTGAAAAAATTAATTTTTGGATTTTTTGAAATAACTTTTTTCTATATTAAAATTTTTATTAATTTTTGTCAAAATTGCATTCCTGACATAAAAACGAATCGATTCATGTATATAAAGTATATATTTTATCAAAATTTATAGAATTAATAAATGTATTAAATTTTCACAAAAAATTGGAATTTTGTATTTTTTGACATTTTATCTTAACACTTTAAAATAATTATTCTAAAATAAAAAATTAAACAATTGGTATATATTATATTGAGGAAGCTTAATGATCATGAAATGAACAACTTGTTTAAAGATCTTGAGTTTAAAACAATTTAAAAGTTATAAACAACTGTAACTCTTAAATAAATAAAATTACTAGTCAAAGGATAGAAAAATTTATCAGTTGCATGAATAGGAAGTGAATCACCAAACTTACGCAATAGGACCAACAAAGATTATCTACTACGAAAAAAGTCAGGGTCAAAGGTTGAAGATATTCTCTACCATACAACTTCGTATATATAAAGCACTACACAGCATTTCTCTAATTAGTCATATTTGAACTAAAATAGGAGCCATGGGAAGACAATGGATTGCTGCGTTTTTAGCAGCAATGACTGCAATTTTACAAGTCACAGCTTACACAGAACCAATATTAAAGGCTGATAAAGTTTTTGCACAAAAACAAATTGAACTTTATGATCTCTTTTGGCATCTTGATCAGCCTGCAGTTTATTCGCCAGAATTGTATGAAGTTGCTAAATCATGGAATATTGCCGACCACGTTGACGATTACATAGACAAGGTATTTGCTTCAAATTAATTTGCTCTCTGAATTTTAATTAGTGAAAATTAAGTCACTAATTCACAATTAATCAAAATTAATTGATTAATAACTATACTAAAGATCTTCGTATTCTTTTATTCAAAAATTATGATCTTCAATTAGTTAGAAAAATAAACAAATGAATTTTCAAGTAAACAAATCGAAAAACAATAGTATTTTTTAGCATTTTAAATCGAAGAACAATTTTTTTGAATATTTTAATAATTAAAATTTAACGAATTATTAAAATAACTAATACGAATGAGTGATAAAGTCATATTACCATTTAATTTTTTTGAATGTTCCCAAAATGCTAAAAATCAAATTTTTTATTCGGCAATTCTTTATGTTTGATACAAAAACAGATTTTTTACAAAAGTTATACAGGGATTTTAAAATCTACAAATTTTTAGAAAAAATAAAAATTTAAAAGGGGCCAAAATATTTTCTAAATTGTTTTATTTTAAGACTTAAATATTCAGTAAATTCTTCCACAATTATTCAATAAATTAATTTTTTCGATTTTTGGAAGATGTATTAAAGGTAAAAGAAAAACACTCTTTTATCTTTTATACATCTTCCAAAAATCGAAAAAAATTAATTTATTATTTTAAGACTATTGCTTAATTGGGTAAGAATTGATATCTACTCATAGAAACATGGCTGAGAGATGATACTTTAAATTCTGAGTTGGTTTATTTTTTTGTATTGATATTTTTAGATGTTATCGAAATATGAAATTGTTTTTTTGGCATCTCTCTGTCAGCTTTTAAAGTTTCATTCGAAAATTGTTATAATGCATAGATAGAACTAGATGGGTGTGTTATTGGTGTGCAGTATATTATGAGTCAATGTAAGTGTGCGTTACATTAAATACATTAAATAAATAAATAAATAAATTCCCCACAAAATATCCTCAGTAAATGAAAGAAAATCGGAAATGTTGTTAATAAGTTGGTATTGAGAAAGAGAATTTTTGTTCATTTAAAAAAAACTTATTTGTTTAACAAATCGAAATTATACTGTTTTATTTTCTTTTCTTCTTGAAAAACATTAGAAAATTAAAAAAAAATTATTATTAAGAAACAGAAAATATACCCATTTTGCATATTATCTGTTTCTCAGTCACAATTTTGTTCACAAAATTTATGAGAAAAGGAATAAAATTTTTTGCGTAATTCTTATTTTAATCACAATTTTTTAACAAAGGGGAAGGAAGTTTCAACAAAAATTTCAATTTTTTTAGAAATAAGTAAAAAAAATTTGAATGTATAATTTTTATTTCTACATCACAACTTTTTAACAAAATCTCAAGTATTTTTTTTAAAGAATTAAAAAATTTTCTCCTTTTTTTGAAAATTGTTTTTAAAAATTTCTCATGATTGCATCCCAGTAAAAAAAAACTAATTCAAACGGATTGAAATGAATTAAGATTTTTGGTAGAAAGCGGGATGCATTCAAGCTTTTTGTACATTTGTTTGAATTCGATTGAATTTGCCTGAATTTGTGCAAACGAATTCGCATTCGAAAGAAATGACCAAGGCATGAATTGAATTCGTGCTGGCGAATTAAAAAAAATTAAAGGCCCCAAAACTTGTCCATTGAATTAGTAAGAATAGAAGGTTTGGAATTTCAATACAGTTTGACGAATTCAGGAAAATTGCAACATAGCTCCAATTCGTATTTGTCACAAAGCGGGATTTACTGAAGTTCTTTGTGAATTCTTTTTAATTTATTTCAATTAGTTTTTGTTTACTGGGATATGTGCACACAATTTTACTAAGTTTTTATAGAAATAGTCACTTTGAATATATTTTAAGAAGACTGAGCAATACTTATTCTATGTTTTTTTATTTGTCTGAAAGAAGTACTTTAAAAGAAATTAAATTTTGTTTTATTTTATACAAAAATTATAAATTTTAACAGATAATAATGTTAAAGATAATATCTATTGACATTAAGATGAGAAACTAAATGTGCGCGATATTTTAGGTAGTTTTTACTAATTTTTAGTAATTATTTTCACACCCTGTATATAGCTTACTAAGGTAAGCTATATACAGGGTGTATAAATAAGGTGAAAACATGCACATAAAACGAAAAACATAGGGGAGACTGGGGCGAAAAGTTAAATTTTGCATAAATGATTTTTTTAGACAATATAATCCGCTTAGATGCAAATATTTATATACATCAATATTGTAGGGCAACTTGTCCCCTACAACTTTCAATAAAAAAGTTTCTGATATTTTCGCATACAATACATGTTTTGTCCTTTTTTGAAAATTTTGTTTTTTTTAACTTTTCGCCCCATGCTGGGGCGAAAAGTTAAATGGCTGGGGCAAAAAGTTAAATTCTATTTTTAGCCTACTAAAACTATTTTCTGACAGGTGTTAAGTAGTAGATAAGTTAAAGTATACGTAAACAAGTAATTTAGTTAATAAAATATCTTTGTTTACTTAACAAAAGCTTTTGAATAGTTATAAAGTTAATAAATTGAAATTTCAAAAAAAAAAATTTTTTTTTTTGGTTTATTTCACGTGAGCGGTCTTATTTTTTGACAGAGTACTTGCCCAATGTCAAATAAATAATTTTTAAACAAATAAACCCAAAAAAATTAAAAATAAAAAAAAATTTTTAATAACATGTAAAAATACATTTAACTTTTCGCCCCACCCATTATTTAACTTTTCGCCCCAGGGTGCGTTTTTGGCTTTAACAACAAATATAAAAAATCTGACTAAAGATATTTAGCAAATACCTTTAGGTATCTCTTCAGGGGACCCAAATAATGAAGTAAAAAAATCGCAGTGAGAATAAATGCAAAAAATATACTTAAAAGTTGATATTTTCTTTTACGAAAAAATTTTCAAAAATAGGGTGAAAAAAAAATTTAAATATGGACACCACAAAAATTAGCAGAATGTCACATAACTCCTGACATTTATTTAGGGTGATAACACCCTTCTATAATTAAAATTGCAATGCTCTAACTATTTTCGTTCGAAAGATAATGAATTTTAACTGTTTTCACAATTTAACTTTTCGCCCCAGTCTCCCCTACATTTAAAATAAATGGTTTAAACAAAAATTTTCTTATTTTTATTGATTTTTCATTTAAAAAGTTTATAACAGTTTCTTTTGACCTTAGGAGCACACTCTTTTTTGCAAAAAGCATTTTATTTATATCTATATATTTTTAATAATGAATTTAAATTGTACAGGCTTATTATACATCGTTAAAAAAAAAAAAATTTTAATTCTTTAATTTGATCAGATGAATAGTTTGGAATTAGTTGAGCTTTAAAAATTGATCGAAAAAGAGATGAATTCAATACATTCTTATGTATATGAATGCAATAGCCATTTTATTTATAACGTTTAAAAATTAAAAATACCAATCTTTTTAAATTGTAAATTTAATTGGTTCATTATGAATATATTAGTCAACATGAAAATAGAATTACTTTCTATTTGTTATTTTCCTTAAATTTGCATCAAAATCAATGTATGTAATATCAGTTTAGGCTCAAAATTTCGGAAGCGTGCCATTAATTTTTCGATAGAGATATTTTATATTGCATATCAATAATTTTATAGTATTTTCGTAACAAAATGTGCCCTCAAAGTTGATTTTGCAAAATTTTAATTTTTTAAAGAGTTAGGGTAGGGTGGGGCATTACTATTCGCGGGGCGAAACTAGTCTTTAGTCCTGATAGAGAGAAAACTATTCATCCGATTGAAGTCACATTTGAGCTTCTGGCGCCATCTATCATAGGAGTTAGGTATTCAAATGTGATTTTGATATACTCGCTTACTTGTTTTCACTCATGTAGTCTGCCATTGTACACTACAGGTCAAAATTGAGAGACCACCCATTTTCAGGCGAATGAAAATCGTTTTAAAACATAAAATTTATTGAAACTAAAATTTTTTTCTGTTCATTTTTTGAAAGATGATAAAATTTTGAAAAGAACAAGATATTTCAGAAGTCGTTTAGCCAATAACCCAGTGGGCACAGGGACGTCTTAAAGACGTCCCTTTTTGTCCGCGGACGATTGGGAGCCAATGATGGCAATGTCTCTGAGACATCAAAAAGACAACTAAAAGACGTCTAAAAGACGTTCTATGTCTGGTCCAAAAGACGTCTAAAAGACATAAGAAAGGACGTCTAAAGTACGTCTAAAAGACATAAAAGGGACGTCTAAAAGACGTCTTTAAGACGTCTTTTGGACGTCCTTTTTACATTCCTTCAGATCTTAAATAAACCTTTCCTTTTATAACATTTTCTAAGTTGAAATTCAGTAACATTATATTAAATTTATTTTAAGTTTAATTTTATTTTTTCTAAAATGTGGATAAATAATGAAAAAATTCCTACGAAGCTGGGATCGAACTCGGATACCTTGGGCTTGAAACACTGCGCCTTAAGCACCTCAGCCGTTCAAGACAGATATGAACCTCTACAAAGTTAACGATCTCACTTGTCAATGAAATGAATTTAACTTAGAAAAATTCCAATGAATTTCACATTCATAAATTTCTAAGTCCAAGTTGAACTTAGAAAATAATATTTTCTATTTATGAAAATTTTTCTATTTTTAAATGTTGAATGAAAAAGACGTCTTTTAGACACTTTAAAGACATCTAATGGCCAAGACATAGAACATGAATAGGACGTCTTTTTGTACAAGTCCAAAAGATGTCCGCAAAAAGACATCCTTAGGACGTCTTTTGAACAAGTGTGCCCACTGGGAATTCATTTAGATATTTTTAAAAAATCGTCATTTTCAATGTTTTACAAAAATTTGAATAACTTCTAAAATAATGAACGCTTTTTAATGATCTTAGGCTTATTTTAAAGGTCATTTGCTACACTATAAGAATTACTTATAGACCTTAATGTGTAATTTTTTTCTTAGAAAATGCAGGCCGTCAAACTTGGACCAAAAAAATTCAAAAAATTTGAAACAATTTTTCTGTACTAAAAACTATTTTAGAAAATACAGAAAACATTATATGGTGTAGATTTTTCAAAAAAATTTGATAAAAAAATACGTTTGAATTTTAAAAATTGTTTTTCTCTTAATAAGAATGTTTCAAATTTTTAAAAATTTTTTCGTTCAAGTTTGACGGCCTGCATTTTTTAAGAAAAAAATTACACGTCAATGCCTATAAGTAATTCTTATAGTGTAGCAAATGACCTTTAAAATGAGCCTAAGATCATTAAAAAGCGTTCATTATTTTAGAAGTTATTCAAATTTTTGTATAACATTGAAAATGACGATTTTTTAAAAATATCTAAATGAATTATTTGCCAAACGACTTCTGAAATATCTTGTTCTTTTCAGAATTTTATCATCTTTCAAAAAATGAACAGAAAAAAATTTTAGTTTCAATAAATTTTATGTTTTAAAACGATTTTCATTCGCCTGAAAATGGGTGGTCTCTCAATTTTGACCGGTAGTGTAAATAGTGATAAACGGTCGAAAAAATTATCGGAAAAATTATTTCTAAAGTCAAATTTAGTGATGAACACGAATATCATAATGGATTTTTGATATTCTATTGTTCAAAAATTTTACAAGTGTTTTTTCAAAAAATGTGCGGATGGGGCGAAACTATTCGCCCACTATGATAACAGCGAAAACTACGAAACAGTGTATTTTTTTGTGTGCTTGTTTTAAGATTAGAATGGTAAGAAATTGGAAGAGAAAAACCAGAAAAAATCCTCCAATTAACAAATTAATTTTTATATTTTTTTTAGTATTATATCATTAATAGCTGCAAGAATAGTTACGCCCCTCGTTTTTTTCGACATAAAAAAAATAAATTCGTAAAATCGCTGTAGTTTGGAACAGAATCGAGTTACAGCAAAATAGTACATGGCAAAATTGTAGCTAAGAAGTCAAGTTTTCAAACGGTTCTACTCATTTTTTTATTTTTTTTTAAATACATTTTTTAGACTCAAAAATCCAAACAAGAATAGTAATGCCCCACCCTACCCTACTGTTTAAACAATTTTTACGCATCAAATTATTGAAACATTTTTTTTCTACCGTTCTATTTGATGGATTTTATCAAAATTTGGTATGAAAAAAAAAATTTAATTTGGTTAAAAATTGTGGTCTAAAAGTTAATTTGAATTTTGTTTTTTTATCTCAATGTGGAGCGCAGAGAGCGCGGTCACCAGAATATTAATAACTTTTGACCTAATGCAATATACTAACTTTTATTTTTTTTAAAGACTCGTGATAAAACTGGGAATCATAATTGACCAGAAAGAATACGAAATTAGGCGGAGAAGTTTATTTTATTTCTATTTGTTTATAATAATTGTTGCTATTTTAAACAAATTATTAACAAAATCTACCAAATATTTTTTGTTCGAAAGTATGATTATTGTATATTACTCATATCAAATTTGATTAAAATCCATCAAATAGAACGGTAGAAAAAAATGTTTCAATAATTTGATGCGTAAAAACTGTTTAAACAATAACTCTTTAAAAAATTATAATTTTGCAAAATCAACTTTGGAGTCATATTTTGGTACGTAAATACTATAAAATTATTGATATGCAATATAAAAATATCTCTATCGAAAAATTAATAGCACGCTTCAGAAATTTTGAGCTTTATCGATTAAAATTTAACTTACAGAAATAATTTAAATCACAAATAAATAAATAAATTTTCCAATAACTAATAATATCACAAAAATAAATAAAGAAAAAAGAAATCTACATTATTGATTACAATTTTAAGTAAAATAAAATGAATTACGTCAGACGATAATGGTTCTTAAGTAAATTTCGAAAAAATAAACCATAAATAAAAGGAGTGCTCATAATTTAAAAATTTTTATCTTCATAAGTAAAAATATATCAATTCCATAGATTTACCCATATTAGTACCTGAATTAAATACTAAATTCACAATTTAATAAAATTTATATTATTATTGTGATTATGTAAGTGTTTCTAAAGTATTTATTTTTTAAATTGTGAAATTGAAGGGCTACATAAAATAAGGGGACGAACGCGAGGCTTGGAAGGGATACTACCAGTCGGGTAGCAGTGACAGGCCTTGAGCCGCTCGCTGCTACCTGACTGATATTATCCCTTTCAACCACGCGTTCGTCCCCTTATTTTATGTAGCCCTTCAATTAACACATTTAAAGCTGTTATCGTATCGCTTATCGTTTTAGGAAGTGTCAAACAAATTCTTGGGACTTTTGAAAAATGGAATGCTACCACGTGGAGTATTATTCCACGTTCATTCTAATATCCAAACACAGATGATTGCCCTTTTCGATTTACTTTATTTTGCAAAGGACTATGATACTTTCTACAAAACTGCAGTATGGGCAAGATTTCACATAAATGAACAAATGTATCAGTATTGTCTATTTATAGCTATCCTCCATCGACCAGACACCAAACACATCCATTTACCGTATCTTTACGAATTAACTCCGCATTATTTCTTTAATGAGGATGTCATCTTCAAGGCTCAACGCATTCAAATGGAAGGCGTTGGTGAGAACTTATTTTAATTTATAAAACTGAAGTTACTAATGTTTTTATCTACGCAAAAAGATAAGAATTTTTTAGGCCCCCTTAGACGTAAACGTTGGTAACTTAAGGGGTAACACTACCCTAGAGTCAGAAAAAGAGACCTATATCTTTGAAGATTTGTTTTGAGAAAATGGAAACTAGAATAGGATTTATTTTTGGAGGGTTTATTAAATACATATTGAAGAGTAGAAAAAAAATTTTTATTAAAAATTTTATAACAAAATGGCGGCGGTAAATTTCATAGTAAAAATCGACTATTTTTTTAGGACTGGAAAGGTTTCTTGAACAGTTTAAGTCCTGAAACACAAAACAAAGAAATTTTATAATCTATGTAATATAAACTTGAAAAGTACATAGGATTTTTTTAATTGGATGTAAACTTTAATTTTTATAAACAATTTACTTTTTATTTTTTGTCGAAAAATTGATTATTTTACTAAAAAAGAGCACCATTTCTACAAAAATTGATATAAAAAAAACTCCTATGTACTTTTCAAGTTTATATTATATAGATTATAAAATTTCTTTGTTTTCTGTTCCAGGACTTAAACTTTTGAAGAAACCTATCCGGCCGTTTTGGTAAAGAAAAAAATAGTCGATTTTTCCTATGCAATTTACCGCCGCCATTTTGTTATAAAATTTTTAATAAAAATTTTTTTTCTACTCTTCAATATGTATTTAATAAACCCTCCAAAAAGAAATCCTATTCTAGTTTTCATTTTCTCAAAACAAATCATCAAAGATATAGGTCTCTTCTTCTGACTCTAGGGTAGTGTTGCCCCTTAAGTTTCATTCGTATTTTGACTATAATTAAAAATAGCTATTCCATTAGATGTTATGTTTAGTATTCCAGATACCATTTACCCTGTGGGCACGGAAACGTCTTTAAGAAACGTTCCTAAAACGTTTTTAGAAACATTTCCATAACAAAGACGTTTTCTTGCCCACAGGGTAATCTTGCAGTAAGCCTGCGGCCAGCTTGCCGTTAGCTTACTGCAAATAACACAGTGGAACTCAAAAAAATGGGTTAAGATTTTACTATAATGGGATGAAAGTACTACCCCAGAAGAGTAAAATCCTCAAATGATTTTGAAAAAATAGTGGCCGTTTGAGTAAAATTGTAGTTTTTATTCCAATAAACAAATTTTATTAACGAACTATGGTTAAAAATTATAATTTAATAAATTATAATATTAATTATAATTTAAATTAATACCTTTAGTTAATATTTTGCGGAAAATTATTCGATTTTTCTCAATTTTTTCATACTACGCCGCAAAATGTTATATTTTTTTCTTAAAATTTTTACTGAAACGAAATCAGTACAAAAGTAAGAAGTATAACTTTTTAAATTATTTTGTTGTAGATTAAAATTATTTTAAACATACTACATTTATTGTAAATATTTATTACAAAAGATATTTAAAATATGCGCTAAAATTGAAAAGTTGTCAAAAATGCACGATTTACTGACCAAAAGCTGATTAGAGCCATTATTCAATAAATTACTTAATTATCAAAACTTAAAATTACGATAAAAATCAAACGGCTACTAATTTTTCAAAATCCTTTACGCGTTTTACTCTGCTGGGTAGTACTTTCATCCCATTATAGTCAAGTCTTAACTCAAAGAAATTTTTCTAAAATTGTTCCACTGTGTTAGTTGCTGCAATTATTCTAAAATATTTTTTAAGGGAACTTGCTGGTGAAGAATTAGTAAAAAATAAACTTTTTTAAACCCTAATTGTAAAAAATGTATTATAGTTATGGCAAAAATTCTTTCGGATATTGTTACATATTATAAGAGAATTAAAACAAAATTTTGAGTATTTTTAAGTAATTTTTACAACTATAGGTGGCGTCTTCCAAAAGGTGTCGAGGTCAAAGCACCTTTTGACTTTTGTTTATAACTTTTTTAAAAATGAATTTGGTCAATTGAAGTATGTTGTTGGAAAGTCCTGTTTAATAGGAACATTTTTAATGTACAAAGTAAATTGATTGGTTTTAAAATGAAAAAGTTATAAAGATTTAAAAAAAATTTTAGTGCAGGTTGGCCCTTACAGTCAAGGTCGGCCCATGTTTGAAATTCAAAGAGCATTACCGTTAAAAAATAAAATAACATGTTTATAGTTACGGAAAATTGATCTTTTATTGTTTCCAGCTTGTAACTTAATAAAATAATAAAAATAAATAAAATTAATATAAATAAAATAAAAATTTTGCACTGAAATATTAATAAAATTAAATGAAAATATTAATAAGATTATCAATTACATTATAAGTTATTCAGAATCGCAGTTTTTGCAAGTGAAGTAGCTCGTTCTCATCTTTGCGCATTTTAAGTACAAAGTGACCAACCTTGACAGAAAGTAACATTACCGAATTGTTCTAACCATAAAGAAATTCCTAGTAGAAATTTGTCGTGGCATGACTAGATTTATTCAAGTTACTGTACAGTTCTAGTCATGAAAGTTTAATCTAGCCTAACTGGCGAATTACTAGACAGCTCCTGCATAACACTGTTAAAGAAAATATAACGTTGAACTTGATTATTACTGTATAGAAGTCCTGTACAGTTATTTTCATGGCACTATCGAGGCGTTGCGAGAAATTATGTTCCAAAGTTTGTCGTGGCGTTAGCGCTACCGCCAGTTTCAGTAACTAAACAGTTGTGTATTGACATTTTTGAAATATTTTCTATAAAATAAATCATTTGGTTTTACAGTTTATAGTTTTTATATTTTTAATTTTGTTCTTTTATTTTACTGGTGACAACTAAATAACAAATTTTTTAAATTATATAATATTAAAATTTTGATTTAATAATAGAATTGGTACAATAAAGTGAGGTTATGTTTTACATTGATGTATTGACGTTGTCCACATAGCACAGTTTTTTCCGGGAAGTTTCCAGGAAATTTCCCATGTTAAGTTCGGAAATTTGTCGTGTTAAGTTCCTGGAAACTTCAAGGACACTTGATATGTCTCAAGATTTAAAGTTTCCGCTGTTAACTTCCAGGAAATTATCATTGTAATTTTCCTGGAAAAAAGGACTGGAAATTTCCTGAAAAATTTAAGGAAGTTTTTTTTTGAAGTTTCTCTAAAATTATTTCTGTTAATTTTACATTAATTATTATTTAAAATAATAATAATAATAATAATAATAATAATAATAATAATAATAATAATAATAATAATAATAAAAAAAAAAATAATAATAATAATAATTTTTTTTTATTCACGGGGGAGAAGAGGAAATGCATTAACGCATGCCCAGGAAGATCCCACTTACCTGGGGTATGTCGGACTCGCTCAAAATGCAAGGAAAAAAAAGAAACCTCACATACCTGCTTTTACGGCAGTCACAATACCGACTAAAACCTCTTCTTGATTCTCCTGGGTTTCGAACCTTCTATCCACCTACGGAACTACCTTTCGGCTTCAGACTTCGCAGATGGATGGTCCCATTTAGTCGCTGGCACGACTCTTCCGTGCCGCTCTTCTTCTGGCCATTATTTTCTCCTTGTTCTTGACAGGGTCTTCTTAGCTTCCTCTAAGGCAGTCCTGAAGACCTTGCACCGACCTGATCCAGCGACGTGTTGGATGTTCTCCTTTTCGCCGAACTTCGCCTTGCACAAGAAGCAGCATGGGCTCTTCTTACAATCTGCTACCTTATGGCCGGCTTCTCCGCACTTGAAGCACGCATCCGACCTATCTACTGCTTGGCAGTCTCGACCTATATGGCCATAGCCAAGGCACCTGTGGCACCTTGTGACCATAACTCTTCTACTTATTCTGCAGGACACAAAACCGATTTTAATCTGCCCTATATTCTCCAGCCTGTTAGCGTCCTCTTGGGAGGTGACCACGACAGCGAGCTTAAAACTCGCTTATTTGGTCCGAGGACCGTCACCTTCCTGCTTCCTGCTGGCACCGTAGAAAGTTGGTCCAGGGTTTCTTTGACATCCTCCTGTTCGGTAAGGGTGTCCATGTCGCGGATCTCCAGCACAGTCTGCCGATCCGCCATCTGAACCTTACCTAGATCGCCGATCACCTTTGTCACCTCCTCGGTGAACAACTTCCTGTTCGAAGACCCCCCAATTTTAATAAGGAGGTCTCCCTTTTTAGTGGGTACAGCTCCCACAACCTTTGTCTGGCTAGCCTCCAAGTCAGCCTCTTTTCGAACCTTCGCCAGAACCTCGGCAAAGGTAGTTCCTTCAGCCACTTTGACGACCATTGTGGCTCTTCCCTTCTTATCTGAAGTTGTCTTTGGTGCCGTTTTCATCTCCTTGCCTTTGGATCTTTTAGGAGGTCCCTCCTCCCTTTTCCTTTTTGGATCCTTCGCAAGCTCAGGATCACTTCTCTTTCGCTTCTGAGCATCCAAGACGACGTTTCTCAACACGATCGCGTTACAGCGATCTCGTCTAACTCTACGATCTTGTCTGGCCTCTTCCGACCAAGTCAATCCCTGGTAGAGACTCTCATCCTTTTTCGTAGCTGCTACGTGCTTCTCCTTGATCTCCTGTATGAGCGATTTCATGCTTTTGAGTCCGTCCTTGATTGTCATATTGACATTCTTCTGGACCTCGCAGGACTTCATCATCTTGTTAACCTCTTCCTCCATTGCTAGAATACATGTTGCCTCTTCCTCCCGCAGCTTAATGCATTCATCTCGATCTTGGTTGCAGCTTGCAATGTCCTTTGCCGAGGCATTACTGAAGACAGAAATGCAGCTGGCTTGACTCGTCACGCTGCTCGTACTCCCTCGTCTCTCCGACCTGTCCACGAGGATCTGTGGCACTACCAACGCGTTGTTGCCCTCCTGCATCCTTGGGCCACTGGCCACCGCCCTCACGCTCGAAAGCGCTTGACGATCGGAACCAGTAAGGGATTTAGCCGTAGCATTACCCCGCAGGTACTCTTCCTCGCTTTTACAATCGCTCATGGTGGATGTTTCTTGT